GATGCCTCCCTCTTGTCCTTTTCCGGCGATGTTGATTAGCATTTGTGAAGGACGTGTGGAGCTTAGGTAAGGCCAAGCCTTGGGTCTAGCTTATGTCTATGCTTCGTCTAGGTGTTATTGGCTGGCGTTGTTTCGCGGAGTGGATGTCAACGGATCATGTTCTGGCCTTATGTCTTCTCTGACATGCACGGTCAGTTTCGGCCTCACCAGGAAGCTCGTGAGGCAAGACAAGACCCCTTTGGTTCTATATGGTCAGAATAGGGAAAAAAGAAACGAAAATCATTTTGTGTTCCCAGGCTCATCTGCATCCATGTTGAATGAAAAATCAAAATAAATACGAGCAAAATTCAAAAAAAATCTAAAAAAATTCATGGTAGACAATTTAATGCGTGAGGTCCGTCCCAATTTTCAAATCATTTGGACAACTGCACGACTCTCGGCAAAAAGACAAATTTAGGGTTTGTAAAACAGTTTACTTTACATGTACTGTTTTGATCCGAATTATCTTTTTTGCTGAGAGTTACTCAGATGTCCAAATGAGTCAATATTTGGAGCGAACCTCACGCAATAAAGTGTCTACCATGGATTTTTTTTTGAATTTTTCTAGTTTTTTCTTAAAAAAAATTCTGACAAGGTGCAGATGAGTTTTTTTGAGCATCAGTACAGACACAAGCGCTCATATACACGCGCATACACTCATCCCTATGAACGCACACACGCACACCCTATCCCTATGAGCACCTCCGAGAGAGTGAGCCGGCATATCATCTTGAGATTTACGAAGCCACCGTAGGCGTCTCGTCGTCGTCGGAAACGTCTCCTCCCACTGAAAGCGCATCGCCGGAAATCCTGAAATAAATCCAGAAATAATGCGAGCACCAGAAATTTGCACCCTGGTGGGTTAGGGATACCACTGTCCACCTAACCATCTCAACCACAGGTTGATTCGCAAGGTGCAGATGAGTTTGGGCACCGAATCGTTGCACTCGAAAAGAAACACGTTTTGATGACAAGATGTTTTTGCGTGTCGTGTTGGATTTACGTTGTTGCCACACGGTGGTGTCACTGTATTATTGCGACGGTGGAAAGAGTTGGCGAAATGAAACGAAAAATCAACAGCGGAAAGATCAGCCAGACTTTACAGATTTGACACAAACAATTAGTTACTCCCTCTGTATTATAGTAATACAGAGGTAGTATGGTAGACAGACGCCGACGAAACAGTTCACCAATAAAGTTTCAAGATACAAAGGTTACAAGATTATACAGTATAAGAATATAAACAAAGGCTGCCTCCACGTATGTACCAGTTCAAATTAAAGCTTGAAAGCTCAAACCCGGTGCTCCGGGGACACCTCGTGGAGATCCTTCTCCGGCCAGCTTCCGGCGTCCGCACGGGCTCTGTGGCCGGCGTATATGGAGCACCAGGCGAGTGCCATGGCGAGACAGCCGAGCACGGTCAAGGCGAACTTGGGCGCCAGGTCCGGGGTGTCACCCGCGATCTGCAGCACGATCATGCTGCCCACCGCCAGCGAGGTCGCCCACACTCTGAACCTGGCCCGCCGCTGCTCGGGCGCCGCCGCCGGGTCGTCGTCGCGGCGCAGGAGCTCGTGCCTCCTGATGCAGACGTAGAGCCCCCAGAGGCAGAAGTAGGTGGGGTAGTATGCCATGATCACGAACGCGAGGTCGTGCGCGCTGCTGTGGCGCGCGCGGTACAACCCCCACGCTAAGTTGCCGGTGACGACCCAGAGGATTGCCCAGAACGCCCATCCGCACCGGGGCTGCTCCGACCCCTCACCTTGGCCCAGCTGCACCGTCTTCGGCGGCGGCGTGTCTCCCGCGACGAGGAAGGCGGTCTCTGTGGGCTCCATGGGCGCCACTGGCCGCCGGGCAAGGTCGTCGTGAGCTTAAAGGGCGCGGCTGATGCCTGATGCCGGCCGGCGTACGTGGACGGGTTACGCTATGCTGCAGGTTTCGGCGCTGCGAGGGTGTTTCTCTGGCGCGAGCAGCGTCATATATGGTCATGGTGAGACGGAGCAGCTGGGCAGCGACTCGGTCCATGGTCGAGGCAAATCGGCAAGCGCGTCTGAATAGTATTTCTCCTCAGATTTGGTCATGGGATAGCTGAAAAAAGTTGCTGGATAATTCAACTCGCATAGTCTCAGGATGACTTTTCTTATGCAGCTGGGCTGTAGCAAAATTGGGGCGAGGGTGCAAAAAAAAATAAAATACTGTTCATGTCACTGGCATATGTGCCCTGAGCATACAAAGCGGAAAATTTTGTGATATTCCCTCTGAAAAAAGCTTGTCCTAAACTTGTCCCTAAAATGGATGTATTTATCACTAATTGGATAAATTTTTTCAGACGGAGGAAGTACAAGTTTTTAAACCTCCGTGGATTCCATGTCGTGGTGTCTTGGAAGCAGGGGTCACACGGCCGGTCCTGAGATTTCAGGGGCCTGGGACGGAGCTAGGAGCTGGGGCCTCTTAATACAAATGTAAAAATAATAATCAATGTCCCAGTGTCGTGTTTTGACATCAAATACCTGTGTAAATATCTCTTAAATTTAGCTGGTTGGTTTTAGGATGTAAATATACAAGTGTATAGCTACAGCCCACAACAAGAAACCAAAATATATCTTCGCCCCTTCAATTTGAACTATGAATCATGTCAAACTTACCAAATCAAGTAGGAAATTATCTACAACTTTCATGTTATGTTCAAAATTGGTTCTTCATAGAAATAGACTAGTTCTTGCAAACATAAATTTACTAAAATCTGATAATTCATTTTTGTTAGAAATTAAAATCAATTCTGAATATCGACTCCAATCGACAAACTATTTTTGTAAACAATCCAAACTTAGGAACTAGAGAATAGATTCACAAAAAAATAGAACAAGTACATATAGAAAAGAGGTTAACCTTGATCTGTAGAGCGTCGATTCGAATTAATTACTCCAGCCAGTTGTAGATAATTGATCAATTCCGATTAATCCAGCTAGTTCATTCATTGTACGCTATTGTTGGTCTATTCCTGGCGGCCGCTTGTGTCTGGCTCTGGCAGGAGGGCCCCGACGATACCGGAGCAAAGCAGCGGCGCGTCTCTGACTCCAATCTTGTGATCGGAAATTAGGGAAGAAAGGGAGTACAGGGACGCAGAAAACATACATGACACAACTGGGATCGGCCTGGCGATCACGATTGGAGAAGGCTGCATCTGCATGTCCCCGTGATTTAAGCTGCCTCCTTGGGCCGTGGCCTATAGGCTGCTGCATACCCCCTGCGGGGGCCCTGGATTTGGGGGGCCCGGGGCGGCCGCCCCTGCTGCCCCCCCTCAGGGCCGGCCCTGAGGGGTCACTCAACGAGTATGACGTTTACGGGCTGAGATTGATCGCATGTCGTGGCGACCAGGAAGGCGGTCTCTGTGGGCTCCATGGACGCCACTGGCCGCCGGGCAAAGTTGTCGTGAGCTTAAATGGTGCAGCTGAGAGCAACTCTAACGGACCGATCCAAACGGACACCACTTTTGTCCGTTTTCTGTCTATTTGGGTCGTCCATCCGCGTGTCCGCGTTCGTTTTTTCATTTGGGTCTGCGAGTACGCCCAACGGCAGCGTGACCCATTTTCAACTTGTCCGCCCTGTCATTTCCTCAAACACTTAGCAGGCACGGCAGGGGAGCTCGCAGCGTGCGGGGAGGCTGACGGGCAAGCTCGAACCCCACAGCTGGGGCGGCATGGCGAGCGCCACGAGCGCGAGGGCGCGGCGGGGCGAGTCCGGGGTCGGGCGCGGGCGTGGCGGGACGTGGCCTGGCGCAGTCGCGGCCAGGCGCACGACCAGGAGGGGGGAGTAGTGGTGCAGGGGACGAGGTCGGGCCGGGCACGCGAGCGTCGCGAGGCGGCTGGGCGCGCGAGCTACCACGGCGACCATGGTGGCCGGGCTAGGTGAACGATGCGAGTGCGGCGAGTGCGGCCATGGCGAGCGGTGCGAGCGGCGGGCGGGAGCACTGGGTGGCTAGCATAGTAGCATCTAGCATGCACGGTTATGCATCCGACGAGCAGCACCAGAATGCACATACTAGCGACAGCTAGCATGCACGCGCTGGGCGGACGCACGCACGCGACCACCGGCGAGCTAGCATGCGGTTGTACATCCGACGAGCAACACGTCGTGCAGGAGCGCGTTGAGCGGCTCCGCGGGCGCGCAGCGGCTGGGCGCGGGGGTTGGCGAGGCCGGTGCCGACACGTCCGCCTCGTCGGAGTTGTTCGATGTGCCGCGGGAGCTCCAGCTCCTTGGGCGGCGGCGTCTGCGGCCTTGGCCATGAGCTTGAGTGGCGGCGGCGCCTGCGGAGTCTCGCCCAGGGATTGACGATGGCGCGGCTGCTACAGGGGGCGGCAAAGGCGAGGTGTGCAGCGAAGAGATAAATAAAAAATAAAAAGGTAGGTGTATGGCAGGTGGGCCAAACAAGGCGTGCAGCAGACACGCGCGGACGAGGAGTTGGCAGAAAACCCCCGCTTTGTGTCCGCCTCGGACCCAAATCTGTCCTAAATTTGGGTCGAAAATGGGTCCGCGCGGACACAAAGCGGACACAAAATAAAAATGTGTCTCCGCCTTGGGCCGTCGCTTTTGTCCGCCCAGACCCAAACGGACATGGACGGACGAAATGGGTCGCCCCGTTAGAGTTGCTCTGATGCCAGGTCCATGTGCTAATGTCGACCATGAGGTAATACCAATGCCGCTAGCAAGTAAAAATTCAGTCAGAAAACCATGAAACAGCAAGAAAATGAAAAAAAAAAATCAAGAATCATTGATTTTTTAAAAAAATTGACTTACTAAAATTTAAAAAGCAGGCAATATACAGCTAAAGTGTTTTCACTTTGAGTCTCCATTTTGCACACTACACGTGTTGTACTATACTGTATACTACAATCTACGAATACGTACGGTCTAGGTCCGTCTTGGTCCAAAATGGAACGAGCACTCATTCCACATAGCTATAGCTAGGCGCTCTGCTCCGGGGATTGCTCGTGCAAAGGCCTCTCCGCCCGGGGGGCGGCGGCCGATTGAGCACGCCCGTACTCCCCATCGATGCGGCTGAAAATGAAGAAGTACAGGAGGCCCATCGCCATGGCGGTGAGCCCAAACACGACTAGCTTCAGCGCCAGGTTCGGCATCCTGTCCGCGGCACTCAGCGCAACCGTGTTGCCCTGCGCCACCGAGACCGCCATGGCAGCGAGCCTGGCCCGCCGCCGCTCGGGCCCCGCGGCCGGGTCGTCCTCAAGCCGCAGGAGCTCGAGCTTCCTGAGGCAGCAGTAGAGCACGGCGATGAGGTAGTAGGTGGCGATCACGAACGCCAGGGCGCGCGGCCTGCGGTGCGTGCGGTACACAGCCCACGCGAAGCAGGCGGCGACGAAGAGCACCGAGACCGCCCACCCGACAAGCCTGGCCCGGCGCCGCTCGGGGGCCAACGACGGGTCGTCGTCGAGCCGCAGGAGCTGGAGCTTCCAGACACAGCAGCAGAGCACGGCGACGAACCAGTAGGTCGTGACCACTAACGCTAGATCGCGCGGGCTACGGCGCGTCCGGTGCACCGCCCACGCGAAGCAGGTAGCGAGGAAAAGCACAGAGACCGCCCACACGGCGAGCATGGACCGCCGCTGCTCGGGGGCCGCCGCCGGGTGGTCGTCGAGCCGCTGGAGCTGCAGCTTCCTGACGCAGAAGCAGAGCACGGCGACGAGGTAGTAGGCTGTGATCACGAACGCGAGGTCGCACGGGCTGCGGCGCGTCCGGCGCACCGCCCACGCGAAGCCGGCGGTGAAGGCGAGCAGGGCGATCACCGTGTACGCGCGGCGTGCCCAGGCGCGCCAGTCACCCCCGCGCCGTGGCGCCTGGCCCAGGTGTACAGTCTGCGGCGGCCCCCACAACGCTTCTTGATCTTGCGCGAGCGGGAAAGAGGCGTACGTCGCGGGCTCCATTTGAGCGGCTTCCGGCGGGGACGGAGGAGCACTGCTCGACTGTTTCTCTTATCCTTTTGTTTGGCAACTGTGGACGCACGAATACGCAAAGGAGCGTTTAGATCACTGTAAGCTCTTATATGCTTTACGGAGAGAATTCTTTAGCAATCTAATATATCTATATATAAACGGGGCTACTAAATCTAAGTCAAGTGAGACTTAACCAAGTCTCAGTCGATGCAATATTCTTATGATCTTACATAAAGATCCGTGTATTTATATTTATATCTTTTGTCACTTAATTAAGGCTTGATTAAGTCTTAGTCGTCAGACACACTCATATATAAAAGATTAGAGAGGGAGCTGATTATTAAATAAAGTAATAGTAAAAATTAGTGTAATTTTCGCTTTGCGGATGATCACGAACATGTGGACGGCGTCCACTTGCATCCAAGTGTGACTCTTTCCATAGAAGCTCGATGGAAGCATCTCCTCTCACAATCACAGTTAAAATTTAACATGCGCGTATGACTCTTCCTGCGGTTATCCTTTTCTTGGGTAAACCGTGGTCAACTTCTGACTTCCGTTGTCCATTCGGTTTATTCAGTTTCTAATTTATATGGTTCGGTTTTTTGATTTACGCAACATTGATGTTTTTGAAAATATAATATTAAAAAAATACAATTTGATTTTGATATATATCAAATTATTCCAATATGCTTTTGCTGTATGCATGCATGGATTCATCCCTTGCTTTGTTTATTGACGTGCTTCATTCTTTTAGAAAAAAGTGACTACTTTATAAGAAAAATGATCGTGTTTAGTAGGGAACCTGTGCAAGAAAAATGACTACATTACATCTCTTTTGGGCCTTTGGTCTGTCCGTTAAAAGCAACTCTAGCAGACCCCGCATTTTGCCGACCTGTAAACTGTGTTTGCAGGTCGTACGGGGACGCTTATACGGGCTGAAAATTGCGGTGGCAGACTAGAAACCGCAAACAAACCCATAATTTTTAAACAAAGTTGTTTCGCGCGAAAAATTTAAGTAGTTGCTCGCCGGAGCTCGCTCGCATAGATGGTTCTTCTTCACATAATAAGTTCGTACACGTCACATACATACATAAAAGTCAGAGATGCTAGACAGGGCTAACGCTACCGCACCACTGCAACAAAATTGAGCTCACCGGAGCTCCTGCGGTAGCTGCCGACCGGTGGCGATCAGTCGGAGTCGGAGGAGTCGGACGCGAGGTCGATGTAGAGCTTCGCCTGCTCCGCCTTCATCACGCGCAGGTCAGGCTCCTTCGATGCATGCGCCTGCGATGCCGTGACGCCCGTCTCGAAGAAGCCACTCGTACTCGAGCTCGCACATGATGCGCTCTTCCATCTCTTCCTGCTCCCTCGCCGATCGCTCGAGGACGACGCGCTCGAGGAGCTCCTCCTGGCCGGGGGGAGGTAGTCCTCAGGCCCGATGACGCCTCGGCGCGGCGGTGCATCGGGCACGGCCTCCTCCGGCTCCCTCTTCACCGGGACGAGCCGCGAGCTCGATCCGCCCGCGGATGAACACCCCCCTGACCCGTGGCCGGATGACCTCCCCGCGGACCTGTGGCCGGATGACCTCACAGCGGACCAGTTGCCAGAGGAGACGCGGCGGTGACGGGCGAGCTCGAGATCGAAGTCCCCGAGCTCGCGGCGGTTGAATGCCGGCGGCAGTCGGGCACCTTGGTTGATCCACCGACGCGCCCCCCGCTTGCGCGCGCCGTCAGATCTGGCGCGGCGTTGGCACTCCGCCTCATCCCCCGAGTCGTTCATGGCGGTCGAAGGCTCGTCGGCGACGATAAATCGAGTGGCGCGGTGGGGAATTGGAGGGGAACGCGGTGGCGGGGGGATAGGGTTTCGACCCGCATCTGCCCCGCAAACCGCAGTTATACTGGCTCGGGGGTTGCGTTTGCGGGCTGCGGCAAAAGTATTTACGAGCCGGACACCGATGCAGGCTCTGGTCTAGCCAGAAAAATGGGCCGAGCCTGTATAATCGCCGGAATTATGCGGGTTTGCACTGAATGCGGGGTCTCCTAGAGTTGCTCTAACTTTCCCCCTGGACCTGAGTGAGTAGGTTGCAACTCCTTTTAATCTTTTACTAGGTGAATGCCCGAGGGTTGCAACGGGACATGCATAATGTTGTAGTACAACACTAATCATTTAATACAATATATGAATTGAGGATTTTACGGTTAGCATCAGATAATATTGTCGGCATTTATTATCACTTTTCTTCTTCATCCTCTTCTACAAATCTAAGCCCATAATTAGTTTGTCAACAGCACAGCCAACTCGCAGTTCCCATTATACCATCGCCCGTACAGTTTTTATTTCACATTGTGCTATTATATAGAGAACATAGGGCAGGGGCAAGAAATTTCCATTCTCACATAACCAATACAAACTAAATGGAACACAAAGAATCCGTCGATCAGGTGGGCCTCAACGTAGTCACTTATCAGCTATAAGCTTTGACTAAAACAAATTGGAAAGGGGGAACCAATTAACCAACGCAAATTGGCAGGGCCACCAAGGTAATCACAGAACATCTCCACGCATTTTTTTTACTATTAACAAAGAAATTGAGCGGGGAGGAGAACAAAAAGGAAAATCAGGATGCAATGCTGGTTCATCCTCATAGTCAACAGTGGACACATATAATTTAAGAAAAGGACTCAACTAACTTCCGACTAGTCAAATTTAAACAACAAATCCGAACGATCTTAACCTAGCTAATCATCCATTGCTAAAGAAAAATCCATGTAATCCTGCGTCTTAGGGCATGTACAATGATGGCGTATGGATACAAATGCTCCATGAGAAAAAAGTAAGTTGAGGCATTTATATTGATTTTTTTCTCCAATGCAAGCTACCACTAGTGGGCGTCATTAAGAAAAAGAAAATATAAACTCCCACTACACATGTATCTCTACAACCCACTTCAACTTTTTCTACTTTATGATTAGCCCTAGTCAGTCCGATTTCCTCAAACACCGTAACATTTTAGAAGGCCCCTTAGCGCTGTTAGAAATAGTTCATGAGCTTAAACGCACCAAAGCGCGTGGCGTGCTTCTCAAGTCGGACTTTGAGAAAGCCTATGACCGCGTGAACTGGGAGTTCGTGTGTGAGGTCCTCATCAAGAAGGATTTTGATGCGGGTTTCGTCCACCGAATCATGCACCTCGTGTGTAGTGGGCACAAAACGGTTACCATCAACGGTACAACGGGCAGCTTCTTCCGCAACAAGCGTGTTCTGCGGCAGGGAGACCCAAGCTCACCACTTATCTTCAATTTTGTTGCGGATGCCCTAGCTGCATTGATTAAAAAGGCCAGGGAGGTGGGACACATTAAAGGGCTAATCACCCACCTCATTCCTGGCGGGGTCACCCACCTCATTCCTGGCGGGGTCACCCACCTCCAATACGCTGACGACACGATGCTTATGTTCGAACCCGACGAACATAGCATCACGTCGGTCAAGCTTCTGTTGCTCGCTTTTGAGATCTTGTCGGGGCTTAAGATCAATTTTCAAAAAAGTGAGATGATCACCATTGGGATGGAAGATCATGACAGTTTGCGGATTGCCAATTTGCTTAATTGCAACATAGGGAAATTCCCAATCAAATACCTAGGACTCCCGATTTCACATAAGAATCTGACCGTAGCTGAATGGGAGCCGCTATACGACAAAGTCGCTAATTGGGTTAGCCCGTGGCGAGGTAGGTTTATTCATCAGCAGCTAGGCTGATTCTGACCAATTCTAGCATGTCCTCCCTCCCCCTCTTTACGATGGGGATGTTCCTTCTAGCCGACGGGGTCCATTCCAAACTTGAAACCCCGCGATCCAGGTTCTTTTGGGAAGGAACCAGGACTAAACGCAAGTATCATCTGGTGAAATGGGCTACGTTGTGCAGACCAAAAAGTTCGGTGGTTTGGGGATCACAAACTCAAAGCTGATGAATGTTGCCTTGCTTACCAAATGGTGGTGGCGCCTTGTCCAAAATGAGTCGGGTCTCTGGGCGGATATCCTACGGGCTAAATATTTCCCGGACGGAAATCTTTTCAAGGCTAAGTTGGAGGGTTCATCATTTTGGAATGGGATCCAAGCAGTGAGACCGGCCTTTACGGTGGGTGCACAGTTTCACGTCCATAGCAGCTCATCCACGCATTTGTGTCTTGACTTTTGGTGGGGTCAAACACCGCTGTGGCAATACCACCCGGAGCTGTATCAACTGGCCACTGACACTAACATCTCGATCGTCGACGCCCTTCGGGTCCATCCTCCGGCGATATCATTTTACAGGACGTTGGAGGCCAGTGAGGCCGCTTCCTGGAACATGCTAGTAGACGACCTTGAGGGTCAGACTCTGAGCCAGGAAAGGGACGAGATCTCCTGGAAGCTCATGGCTTTCTGGAAATTCTTGGTCAAGTCCTTATATACGAAGTTGACGGAGGGGAATGTGTAGATATGGCTAGGGGGCTATGGAAGGCTGGCATTCCCCTCAAGATCAAAATATTCCTGTGGCAATTGTGTCGCAACCGCCTCCCTACTTCTGATAATGTGGCCAAGAGGAATGGCCCAGCGAATGGGACCCGTGAAAGAAATATGCCCTAGAGGCAATAATAAAGTTATTATTTATTTCCTCATATCATGATAAATGTTTATTATTCATGCTAGAATTGTATTAACCGGAAACATAATACATGTGTGAATACATAGACAAACATATAGTCACTAGTATGCCTCTACTTGACTAGCTCATTAATTAAAGATGGTTATGTTTCCTAACCATAGACATGTGTTGTCATTTGATTAATGGGGTCACATCACTAGGAGAATGATGTGATTGACATGACCCATTCCGTTAGCCTAGCACTTGATCGTTTAGTATATTGCTATTGCTTTCTTCATGACTTATACATGTTCATGTAACTATGAGATTATGCAACTCCCGTTTACCGGAGGAACACTTTGGGTGCTACCAA